TTTTGGCAGGATTAAGCCTAGTACTCATAACAGCGAAATTCGCTCTTTTTTGAGATTGCTTCGACAATTTGACGTTTTAGGCATGAATCAAACGTCAAATTATCCAAGCAAGTCAAAAAAGGGTGAATTTCGCGGTTATGAGTACTAGGCTTTATCAATCTGACACTTTTCTGACATCGTTGACATGTAACAACCCGTATTCTAACCTCATAAAAATTTCAAAATGCCGGCTGGTTGGCAAAAGTCACGTGGTTTGGATTCCCTAATTTTGCACAAGAATGCCAAAAATATATTCAAAATAAATATCCACGTAATATAACTTATGAAAGAAAAGACGAAATTAACGAAAATATTTATATTTTAATCGCAAAGATAGGTTAACGGATAAATTCCTTGCTTGAAATAGGTACCTCCACCTTCATTTCTGCCTTGAAATACGCATTTTTGCGCTGTTGCCAATAGCTTTCAATTCTTAGCTGAGATTTGGTCGGTGCAAAGCAACTCAACCTAAAGGTTCACCTTAAGTAGGGTTGCCAACCGTCCTGCATTTCGGTGGACGTCCACCATTTGGGGTTCATTGTTCAGCGTCCTGTAACAACCTATTGCAGGACGCCTATTGTACTTAATTTTCAACTTAATGAAGAATTCTGTCAAATTAAGCCGAGAATAAACCTGGTTCTGGTTTATAAAGAAAATTATACATTCCTTGAAAATGGAATTTATTATTTTTGACCATATAAGTACTGATTTAAAAAATTTCTTGATCATTTTGCAATTTGTATTTTTTATGTTTGGGTCCAATGATGACGCTGAAAGGATTTTTTCAATGCGTTCAGCTTTGTGGACTGATGCGCGTAATCGATTGTGCATTGAACACATCAAGGCAGAACTGCAAATAATGAAGAATAATCATTCTTATATGTACAGGGTGCCCAAATTTGGATGGTTTTAATAGGAAACGTCAATTTCTGAGCGATATACAAAAAAATGAACCCCCCACTCCGAGGCTCAAATTTCATGAAATCTTGGTTGGTGCAAACCGCATTTTGATAGCTTCAACCGTTTAGCCGCTAGAGGGCATTTCTCGACTTTGAGCAGTACTGTGAAACCTTCATATCTTTTTTGTTTATGAAAATAATTGATTTCGGTAAAAACTTTTTGGAAGCACTTTTTTAAGCAGAACTCCGTGACGTTCTCGGTTTTTCTCTATTTGGTCTCGATTTCAAGATATTGACCAAAGTCCGATTTTTTTCAATAGGACACCCTATATATTAGTAGCTCATTGGACAGCTCTCCTTTTGCTGATTTCAATGATACAAATTTCGATAGTTTATCTCTAACAGTTTTCGAGATAAAAAATAATTTCGATTTTTTTCATAAGAACCCATGTGTTAGAAAAGGACATGTCTATCAACTTAGCGAGACAACTTCGAAAAATCGATTTTCCATTATGCCAAGAATTTGCCGCTTTTTTGCCGCTAATTAAATGTGGAATTAAAAAATTTGCCGCTCTTTTGGTTTTTTCTTAATTACGTGTTTTGCTAGCTTGACGTCAAGATAGCGAGACAACATCACTAAATATGTCAGCACTAATAAACTAGGTACCTACGTGAAAATTTGCCGTTTTTTTGCCGCTAATTAGTTGTGAAAATCAAAAATTTGCCGGTTTTTTTTTTTTTTTCATAAAAAATCAAGGTTGAAAAAAAAATCATTTGTTTCGCTAACTTGACGTCAAGTTAGCGAAACACATGATTTTTTTTTCAAACTTGATTTTTTTGTAAAAAAAAGAAGCGGCAAATTTTTGGTTTCCACAACTAATTAGCGGCAAAAGAACGGCAAATTTTCATCTACCTAATTTTTTAGTGCTGACATATTTAGTGATGTTGTCTCGCTATCTTGACGTCAAGTTAGCAAAACACGTAATTAAGAAAAAACCAAAAGAGCGGCAAATTTTTTAATTCCACATTTAATTAGCGGCAAAAAAGCGGCAAATTCTTGGCATAACGGAAAATCTATTTTCCGAAGTTGTCTCGCTAAGTTGATAGACATGAAAAGGACTTTATAGCTGTAAGGAAAATGAAAAAGGTCTCTTTCTAACACATTGTTTCTTATGACAAAAACCAAAATATTTTTTTTCTCGAAAACTGTTCGAGATAAACCAATCGAAATTGGTATCATTGAAATCAGCAAAAGCAGAGCTTTCAAATAAGCTATTAATATAGAGGGTATCCTATTGAAAAAAATCGGACTTTGGTCAATATCTCGAAATCGGGGCCCAATAGAAAAAAAACTGAGAACGTCACTGAATTCTGCTTGAAAAAGTGCTTCTAGAAAGTTTATACGGAAATCAATTATTTTCATAAACAAAAAAGTTATGAAGGTTTCAGGAACAGTATTGCTCAAAATCGAGAAATGCCCTCTAGCGGCTAAACGGTTGAAGATATCAAAATGCGGTTTGCACCAATCAAGATTTTATGAAATTTAAGCCTCGGAGTGGGGGGTTAATTTTTTTGTATCTCGCTCAGAAATTGACGTTTCCTATCAAAACCATCCAAATTTGGACACCCTGTACATACATACTTGCAAAGAATTTCATGATTTTGTAAGAGGTAACAAGAAGTTAATGGTAGGTACCTGCAGAAAGTGAAAAAAAAATATATGATTTTAGACACTGTATCTATAAGTAGGTACCTATGTAGGTACTTAACTTTTTATATTCTTCAAATAATTTGTTAATCTGCGTACCTACTACTTTTGAAATATAATTTTAAATTATTGATTCCTATTTACCCAAAGAATGCTTGTTGGACAGTTTTATGGATTGTTTATTTCAGTTTGTAAATGGCATTTTTTTCTGCAATGATAGAAATGTCCAGAATTTATACTGTATGTCCTGAATTTTTATTACCCTCGTCCAGAAAAATTAAAAAACAAAGTTGGCAACCCTAACCTTAAGCTTAGCCTCTACCTAACTTAGTTTGTTTTTAAGGAACACCGGTGCAAATAGCTGTTTATGTAGCAGCCCTTCTCATTTTGCTAGTCTTATGTATATCCAAATTCCAATTTATCTCGCTCGGACCCGTAATTTTCTCCTTCGAATTTGAAGGTTGGAGTTTTTATTTTTATTTTTTAGTAAGGTAAAAAACGTCAATATCCGCATCTAATCTAAATTGAAACAAAAACATAATAGTACATTAAAATACAAGTTTCATAAGACGTCATTTTATCGCACGAGGAGGCGAGTTTTCTAAAGGGCGAGTGCGATAAAATGTCTCATGAAACCAATATTTTATACTATTTTTTCTATTTTGGTATTGTTTAATTAAAAAAAAACAAATTTTTCTTGGAAATTTTATTCTCATATTTACCAACCTCCGATAAGTAAAAAAGGAGTGTCACAAAGAGCTTCTTTTCGAAACTACTTTTAGGCCGGAGTTACCCAATTCCTTAATTCCTAATATTTGTCCTTAATTCTTAATTCTTAAAAAGTTCAATTTATTTAACATTGGTGTTTTTAAGGATTAAGAATTAAGAACAAAAATTAAGAATTAAGAACAAAAATTAAGAATTAAGGAATTGGATAACCCCGGCCTTAGTGTCGAAAAGACTTCGATATGACAACAAAATAGAAAAAGAAATTTACGGGATCGGGAAGTAAATAGGAGTCATGGGCGTCGTTTGGGGGGGGGGGGGGGGGCAAGGGGGGGGCATTTGCCCTCCCCTAGAAATAGTCTTATGAATAAGAAAGCAGTAAAAGAGAGTTCGTATTCGTAGTGCTTTTTTCCATTTTTTCAAAATTTGTTAGGTATGTACTTTGAAAAATTGGCTGACATTTTCATTACATTCAACGGAATTGACATGTCTGGCAAAAATAGAAAAAGAGAGCTTAATTGTAATAAATACAAATTAGAAAGTGATAAAAATGACATGCGCGCGCAACTCATGGCTGCAGTGTAGCCAGATTGTATTGTTGCAGAACAAATGTAGACAATACAAATCGAACATTATAACTCTGGGTATCCATGATTTTGCTCGGGAGCATATTTAACTAGCCAGTGACCGTATAATCCAGCTAGAAAGAAAGGAGTATCGCCGAAATTGTCTTCAGCATGGGAAGGACCCTACAAAATAATCAAGAGGATCAATGATTTGGTTTATCGAGTCCAACGCAACACCAGGAGTAAGATGAAAGTTGTACATCTGGACAGGTTATATAACGAAATATCATGGGCGTGAAGTTGATCGGGACGATCAACCTTAAGAGGAGGGCAGTGCAACGGCCGCCAGTGTGTCAAGAACAACGTCGATCGCGGTTCTTCTGGAATTTACAGGAATAAATTACGGCTATATATTATATAAGGATGGGTTTTAGCTTGTAAGTTTAAGTTTCAGTTCGACTGTGATACGATTTAAATAGTGATTATTTTTGTAAAGAGTTTAATTGTTGAGTTAGTTATTAAAGTAATTAGTGTCAGAGTGTATTGTTAAGTGGAATAAATTATTGCTGTTTTAATTGGACTTTGATTTTTGGAATAAACGAAACGAACCCAAGATTTCTGTCAGGCAATCCAAAGCCGTGACAATATAAAAGAATGCTGCAACGCCAGTAGTAAGCTTTTGTTTTCGAGTATTACTTGTAGCAACTTGCTCAGTATTCCTTATGTTACTTTAGATTTTGAATAAAATAGTTTTTTAAACTCGTCTCTGATTTGGTAGCAGATTTAGCGTGTTCCAGCCTGTTGTGTTTACATATAACCTTGAACCACGAATTAACCGCTCTTTCGCACCTGTAAGTGATCCGTGCTTTTGTACACTATAGAATATTCTGGAAAGGGTTTACCAATAATTACAACAGTGTAATTACTTTACGGGCTTTTCCCGCCCACGCCATCATGTTTGTTGGATATGAAATGATTGATTGGGAAAAAAATATATACTAAAAAAAAACACAATTCCTATTTTATAAATATATTCACAAGACAAATACACTTATTCTGGGTCTTAAACTTCTAAAATAAAAAGTCTATATCTAGGAATTAAAAACAATAGAGTAGTTTTATAGATCGATAAAAAGTTTTCAATAATTTAAAAATTTTGAGTAGATACTTACAGCGTCAAACGGTGATATGAATCTTTCCTTAATAATTTTAAAGATATTATATTGCTTTATTTTATTTTAAACCTAAACTAATAATTAATGAAAATCGATGATGAGAAAATTTCACAATGAATAGTAAAATGCTTAAGTATCCACTTAAAAAAGGAAAAATATTTACAAATCGATTGCTTTTATTGGCTGTTTTTATTCATTAAATTTAAATGGAAACGGATTAGATATAAAAAAATATATGTACAACTTCTATTCATAAAATCCTAAATGTGAAGGGTTTATTTTGTTGTCTTTAGGCAAAAACTAACTAGTATTTTGCAAGGTATTGCACAAAAATAAAACTTTTTGACAATTTGACTTCTTGCTAATAAATAAATCCATTGGAATTTTCCAGCTGTATAGTTTTGCATAGAGACAAAGGGCCAGTTTCCTTAACCAAGTTTTTATTTTTCCATTTTCCTTTCTAAACATTTTGGAAAAGAACCAGGCCCCTATCAAAATTATTAATATAAAATCTAGGTAATAAATAATAAATATCAATAAATAAATAAAAATAAGTTGGTTGTTTTGTGGATAATAAATCCAAAAATATAATACATCGTATGGCTTTTACTGGCCACAAAAATATGGCAAATATTAGATATATGTATTAAATTGTCAAGCATGTAAGTGAACTCATTATAGTGCTTTTAAAAAACAAAATTATAGTCCTACTTTTTAAAATTTGGCATCAACATTTAATAAGTTTATCTCGAAATACACAATTTTCTTTTGAAAAAAACGACGTTATAGCGTTTTACTAATCCTATACATTCAAATAAGTAATTATCAATATCTGCTCTTCAATTTTTTTTTTTAATAAAAATATATTTCTAAAACTATTAAAATGTATTTGAAAAAGTTAATTTTTATACAGTAACGTTCTTTTTTACGGCCGTAGTTTTCCTCGACTTACTGCACTCTGTGTAAATTATTTTTGAAAATATTCCTGAAATTGTACAAAGAGTACAGTAAGGTTTTTTTTTTAAATTTAAATATATTAATTGTGCCACCTCTTATGAAAAAAATATACATTTTAAATTTTTGTGACACATTATGACACTCTAAAGGCTGATGATTTTTTTATTTCAATAAAATTCTATAATATTAATTCTTAATCTATAAGAAACTTTTAACGTATTTTACACGAGAATAATAATCCTATTTAAATAAAAATGCAATAAAGGATTTAGAAATCACAAGGAAAAACGTTTCGAACTAATGCCTAAAGTTATATATCATCAGAGCCTAAATGGAATTTTTGGGATTCGGAAACAGAGTTGCTGCGTGGATTTTTAAGATGGATGTATTTTTTAAATTTTAATATTTTCAGAATTTAAAAACTATTACACTTGATTTGGCTTAACCATAACAATTATCTGGTCTTTTTTGGTTGGGACCAATGATTTGATGATACAAGGGCTCAAATTCGAAACGTTTTTCAAAAATGAATAAATATACTTGCTGGTAAATCATGGCCCTCACTAATTAATACTGCAGTGTTAATAGTAAATAATAAACTTTGGTATAAACTTAAAAAAAAAGCAGTAGTAGGTATTACATAGTATACTTTTAGACAGAGTGATTTTGGTTCATTTTCTATGTACACGTTTAATAAAAAAATTTAATGATTTTTTTTTCTCTTTTGTACTTCGTTTCAGTATATTTTGTGACCTATTTTATAGCAATTTGTTTTCTGAGATCATACAGGCACTGTTTTGTTTTAATAACCCCAATTTCAAGGGCAGTTTTGTTTTCATTGAGAACGAATATAAAAAAATAAAATTTTACAAAACTGCAATTGAATAACGGTTAAAAATCCATAATTATTGTAGGTAGTTGTGGTTTTTAGTTTTACACATTATAAACCTAGATTTTCTTAAACTACCTAAATAAAACGATTCAAACTGGAATAACTGTTCCATCGGATCAGAGACTAGAAAAATGTCTTTTTTTTTTAACAAACAAATTTGTGCATCAAAAAAACCTTACAATCTAAAATGTAATACTTATTCTATAAACTTTGGCAAGGCTGAGAAATGACAATAACTTGGTAATCATTCGTTTGCCGTCTAAGAGAGACCTGGAATTATACACGAAACATTTGAATTATTTATTTGCCAAAAATCTAATTTAAAATTGCAACCCCATCATCCAATTATCTAGCAACAGAATATGGTTCTTGATAGGGTCCTGTCACCATACAAGGATACATAGGAAACATAGTTGTAACAGAACAAGTTGGCAATGTTGGTGATCTAAGGACAACTTCTCTAGAACTATTTTTATCCAAACTCAAATCACTACTACTTCTACAATTTAGAACTGATTGTTCCAATTCTAATTTGCCTTTCTGTTTCAAAGTGTACTCGTCCAAACCATGCTGGGATTTATTCATATTTCTATGCTGATAAAATACAAGGGAAATACGAGTGGGTTGGGTACGATCAGGTTTTTTTAAGGCTGTTGTGGCATGTAGTTCGTGCTTGGCACACTCGAATAAAATACTACCGTGAGGCAGAGCTACAGCAACGCCACCTACTTCTGGATCACGGAAACTCTCCGAGTTATCTGAATATTTAATTTCAACAGTTTTTTGATCAGTGAGTTTTATTGGATGACTGAAACTTTCATCATTTACTGGATGGGGTTGGGGATGATGACCAGGATTGCATGCAGGCAAGTATTTATAAGTATCTTGATTAAAATAATAATCATAACTATTTACTCTGGGATTTGTAAATACTGAAAACTCTGGTAGCTGACTTAAGTTATTGCCATTACTATGCACACCAGTACTATAATTTAAATTATCGTACCTCCAATTCTTTGGACAATCTAATACTGTGCTGGATACTTGGCCGTTCTGGATTTCGGGACTGCGAAAGGGCGACATTAGTTTTTGACGGAAGGACGGCAACGAGGAAGACAGTGAGGTAGTTTTGCGCTTTTTCTGACTCTCCTCTTTTTTGCCTCGACGGGTTTTGCACTTTTCTGCTGGCTCGGAGAATGTACGGACTTCACATTCGTACCTTGAAAAAACAGGAATTTTATTTAACAAGAAAAAAACATTTATTTATTTATTTATTTCCTACTGAACTATTATAACCATTAATACCTTGGTTACGATAATCATAAACAGGGTCTTAACTCCCAAGGGAGTTAAGGATTTCATAACTCCCGCGCGGGAGTTAAGGATTTCCATAACTCCCGCTTTTACCTTGAATAGGTGAAACTTTGACAAAAAATAGAAATTTTGGTTCATGGTTTATTTCTTTATAAAAATGGACAAAATACAGTAAATTTAGTAGGAAATAATAGTTATTTATGTATCAAGGGAATTATGAGGGTGTTAATACCCCAGGGCAACGTGTCCCGAGAGCCTCTGGCCCGAGAGACACCAATTGCCCGTGGGTATTAACACCTGATAATTCCCGTGGTACATAGATAATTTTATATCCTACTGAATTTACTGTATTCTGTCTATTTTATAAAGGAATAAACCATAAACCAAAATTTCTATTTTTTCTCAAAGTATTACCTATTCAAGGTAAAATTGGTAGTTATGGAAATCCTTAACTCCCTTGGAAGTTATGATATCCTTAACTCCCGCGCGGGAGTTATGAAGTCCTGAACTCCCTTGGGAGTTAAGACCCTGTTTATGATTATCGTAACCAAGGTATTATATGGTTATAATAGTACAGTAGGATATAAAATTATCTATGTACCATGGGAATTATCAGGTGTTAATACCCACGGGCAATTGGTGTCTCTCGGGCCAGAGGCTCTCGGGACACAAACTTTGCCCTGGGGTATTAACACCTTCATAATTCCCTTGATACATAAATAACTATTATTTACGGCAAGGCCAATTTACAATAGCAATAATAAAAAACAATTTACAATAAATAGTTTTACAGCATACCTAAACCTAAGCACATAACAAATAACATCTTGATGAATTCACTAAGTTAATAACCCCTTTTAAAGGCAACAACAGAAGGACAACCAAAGATATCAATACTCCGGCTCCTTGAGTTGGTAAACCTGATCACCTTTGAGATCGACTCATTCATACCACAATTAGTACTATGGAATGGTACCTACATAAAACAGGTCAGAACCTCTCACCCTTCTTTCTCTTGCTCTTGAAGAAATTTGACCCAAAAGATCTGGGCAGTCAATTAACCCTCTCAAAAGCTTGTAAAGGAAAGAAAGATCAAATCAAATCAAATCAAAATATGCTTTATTGTCGTAAAAAAATAAATCCATTGACAAAGCCAGTAATTCCTAAACCTAAACTTTCAAAATAAAAATAGCATAACATTAAACGAGGTAGGGATATATAGAGTTATACAGATGAAACCGAAAACAACAAAAACTACCATCCAAACATCTTCAAAGGGACAACAAAACAAAATAGGAACATCGTTTGGCATGGTAAGGTTAAAAAAATAAAAATACATTACAATTAAAATCATACACACTGATTACACTTAGTTGTTGATTAAAATACGTACCTAAAAACGTTTACAGTTGTTACACACACAAGAATTTAAAATAAAAAATAAAAAATAAATAAACTTAAAATAAATAGAAATAAATAAAATTTAAAGTGCAAATCAGACTCAAGGAATAATAATGTGTGTCTTTTTGGCAGATAGTAAAATTTTGAATTAATAATGATCACAGAGATACTCATTTATAGAGTAGTATGCCCTATCAGTCAACCAATCCCTTACTTTTCTTCTAAATTTTTTGAAATTATCAACAGATTTAAATTCTGGTGGTAACTTATTAAAGATTTTTACACTTCTATAAATAATGGAGTTTTGTGTAAGGCTGGAACTAGGAATAGGAAGAGGAATATCATTGTGATTTCTGGTTTGATAAAAATAAGCATGAGTGACATCTTTATATTTTTTGAAAATTAAGCTCACAGTTTCCAATATGAACAATCCAGACAATGTCAAAATCCTCTCTTTTTTGAAGAGGGGCTTACAGTGGTCCCTCAATCCGGCCCCACACAGATATCTCACACATCGCTTTTGCATAATAAAAACGGACTCAAATAAATTCTGGCAACAATTTCCCCAGAAAGCTACACCATAGCGCAAATGCGATTCGACTAGGCGTAATACGTTGTTTTAGCCATTTGTGTACCCAATTCCCAGAAGGTTAGTCTAACTGCGTAACTGCCCATTGCAACTTTTTTGTTCAAGTTCTCGATATGAGTTGTAAACTTTAGTTTGCTGTCAATATGAATTCCCAAAAATTTTGTATTTTCACTTTGTGATATTGACAGTTGACCCAATTGAAGGTCATCAAAATCGAACTTAAAACTTAAGACCTTAGTTTTGTCAATATTGAAACACAGAAAGTTAGAGTCGCACCATAACCTAATTTTCTCCAAATCATTAGCAACCATTTGCTTTAAAACTTGCAAATCCTTATGACTCCAAGTAATTGTATTGTCATCGGCAAAAGTCGTAAAAGCACCTTCAATCACTAACTTCAACAGATCTTCAAGATATATTAAAAAAAGAATTGGCCCAAGTACAGACCCCTGTGGGACCCCAGTATCTACCGGCATTAGAGTCGACGATGACTCTCCATTTTTAACCATTTGGTATCTTTCGTCCAAGTAAGATTTAAAAATTAAAAGAGATTTTTCTCTAAATCCGTAAATTTGCAGCTTATTCAAGAGCAATTCATGATTAACACAATCAAATGCCTTTGAAAAGTCAATGAAAACGGCAGCTGCAAATTCTTTGTTATTTATCCTAAAATAAATGTTTTCTAAGAAGGCAAAAATTGCATCATTCGTACCTTTAGAACTCTGAAAGCCATATTGACAAGCACTCAGCAGGTTCTTTCTACTTAAAAACTCTAGCATTCTTTTTTTAATAATTTTTTCAAAAATTTTTGATAGTGTGGGCAAAAGTAAAATTGGTCTAAAATTTGATGGCTCTGAGTATGATCCCGTTTTGTGCAATGGAATCACTACCGCCGTTTTCAATATGCCAGGAAATTTTCCTGAATCAAAACATTGGTTGATTGCTTGGGCTAAACAACCAAGAACATTTCCATTAAGGTTTTGAAATCCGCATGAAGTCTCTTGCTTTGCAAGGTACGAACACTCAAGAAAGCCCTCATCCCGTTATAAGTATACTCATCATGAGCCAAGCCAATCTATAAGCAGCCACCCTTAGACATCTATCCAGAGCAGCAATGTGAACAGTATATTAGGGAGACCAAACAACCAATGAGTATTCTAACATAGATCGCCCCATCGCACAGTAAAATGTTCGCAATATACTCACAGACGTATCAGTAGTGGTCCTACATAACTATAAAGCCCAAACATCTAACAGCCCTTGACTCAGTATTGATAATATGGCGATTTGATGATATCTTGGAGTCAAATTCCACTCTCAAATCTGGAATGCTTGCTACTTCCAACAATGATTCCTGACAATAAAGTTCAAGATCATCTGCAAATGACAAAAATGAGCTGTGCGCAATCGAACTATATGAACAGATTGAACAGAATTGACCCACAGTGAGACCCCTGGGGTATGCCAGAAGGAACATCAAACACACGAGAGTCTCAAGACACAACACCGCCATACCTAACTGCCTGAGTTCTCCTAACAAGAAAGTCAGCAAACTAACTCAGAATTGAACCTTTCACACCAATACAACCAAGCTTCCCAATGAGCAGGCGATGGTTAACCTTGTCAAAGGCTTTAGAGAAGTCCGAATATACAAAATCCACCTGGAACCCCCTTCTCCATGCTGTTCAAAATAAAATTCTGATACAAAACCAAATTTGTTGATGTCGACCTACCCACCGTAAATCCATGCTGTTCCGGATTTAAAAGGAACCTACAGTCCCAGCTAATTAGTCTCCTGGTAATGAGACAATCCAGCAACTTAGGAATCTCAGACTGCGTGCAAACAGACCTGTGATTTGTGAATTCTTCTCTTGACCCACTTTTAAATGTTGGTTTCAAAAAGCTGAACTTCCACAAAACGGGGTAAGAACCTACCGACAATGAATAGTTGAAAAGATTTGCCAGGGGCGTCGCAAGAGTGTACAGGCATTTCTTTATAAAGAGCAAAGGAATTCCATCCGGCCTATATCAGGTGAATATTTTACTTGTTCTATAATATTAGCACAAGAAAAAAAAAATGATCTCTGATATGATAATTGCATCTATAACCTTAATCACAACGATGAAAATCAATTAACAATTTTGTCTTGTCCAGACGGCAGTATCATGGAAAGAAATCAAGTTTGGCTCAAATTTCTATCAATAGTTTTTAATGAAATTTGGATTTCGGACAGGTTCTAGTTATAGACTAGTATATTTGGAGCGAAAAAAAGACCCGCAGCTTGCAAAAGATGGGGTAGTCCGGTAGTCGCAATTTTGACATATGTTATTCCGATTGAAGCAAAAATTTGAGTTTTCGACCTTGGGGGGGACCGGCTTCCTCCGCCATCTAAAACTCTTGAACGGTCAAGTTTAAGAAAAAAGTGTTCGAACAAAAAATAGAGAAAATTGAATTTTCTACAATTTTCATACACAACTTTCTTTTTGTAGCTGTTATCTGTAATGACCTATAGTTAAAAAAACTAGGGTAAAAGAAAAACATTGCAATTTTTCAAAGTTTCTCGATATTGAATTCTCATTCATGAGTGCGAAAATGTCATTAAGTTACTGAATTTTCATAAATTATATTATAAATTCGTATTTATTCAAATGTATGATATGTAATCAATCTACAGGGTGACACTTGAAAAACTTACAATTGGCTATTTGAGGCACCAAAAAAAGTAATATGAAAAATCCCTTAAAGTAATTTCAATAATAGCGAGGTGGATCCACTGATGGTGGAACCGAAATGATGTAATAATTGAAGCTATTAGTGCATGAAGGTGTTAAGTCACTTTTTAACAATTTTGAAATCTTTAGGGTTAAAGTAGAATTGTTGGAGCTAGTTATTACATCATGTTGTTTCCAATGGT